CATCCATCATGTCCGGTACGTGAGAGGGTTTCTCAATAATTCGACATATTATGCCGTGTGAATCGGGCTCTTGAATGGTGGGAGGGACCTCTTCAACGATGACAGGGGCCTCTTGAAAGGTGGGAGGGGACTCTTGAGGGATGATAGGGGCCTCTTGAACGATAGGATAGGCCTCTTGAACGATGACAGGTTAGTCGGGATACTTCTTACGGATTTTTTGCACTATTGGGGTGAATGGAGACGTAATGGCACGTGTACGCCGTCTGATGCGTGAACCCCATCTTGTAAGAAAAACCCGACATAAAGCATCCACCTTATCGGGCCGCTAAAAATAAATTAATACATAAATCATTAAATAAACATACATGATATTAAACAGTGAAAACAAAGACAAATATGTTTCAAACTTGCACGGTATTCACTCAAGTCATTATTCTATCATAGTTCACAAAATGCATCAGATAACATTCCAGAAGTAAGCACTTATAAAAACATTTAAAAGGACAACATAAAGAGTAGTAGTTTATTCTTGAAACTTAAATTTGCAACACTGTGAAGTTAGTATTTGTCTTTGTCTTTTGGTTGAAGTAATGCAATCCATTCAAGTTTCAATTTGCAGAAGAATAATAATTTCTGAAACTTAAAATCGCAACACAAAACTTAAAATCGCAACGCGAAAATGATTATCGCAACGTGAATTTGACTATCGCAACGGGATAATCGCAATGCGAAATAAAAATCGCAATGAGAAAATCGCAATGCGAAACTAAATTCGCGTTGCGATTTTCATTTTCACATTGTGATTTTCACGTTGCGATTTTTATTTCGCATTGCGATTATCCCGTTGCGATAGTCAAATTCTCATTGCGATAGTCATTTCCGCGTTACGATAGTCATTTCCGCGTTGCGATAGTCATTTTCGCGTTGCGATTTTAAGTTTCGTGTTGCGACTATTCTTCTTCTACAAATTGAAACTTGAATGGATTGCATTACTTCAACCAAAAGACAAAACAAAGACAAACACTAACTTCACAGGGTTATTTTAGAACCGTTTAGCAGTATTGGCAGCAACCGAATGAATTTACTAAGCAATCTAAGTGAAATGGTTAATCTAAGTGAAATTACGAGTAAATCAAGTTAAATATGAAAAATCTTAAACTTACCTCGTTGCGTAGAGTATGAACCTCATTCTGCAACGATGCTACCATATCACATAGAGCTGCTACCTCACCATGTAAAGTAGATATCTCATCACACCATGCACCATTGTCATCGCGTAAAGTACCGACCTCATCATACAAGGCATTTACCTCATCACGTAACTCCCCTAACTCATCCCGTGGAGGTGGAGAACAGGGAGATAAATGCCGTGGCATCTTTGCGGTCGCCTATCATGAGGTGATGGTGGAGAAGAGGCTCGATGATGTGATGGAATAGGTGATGGCTCTCGTTGTAGAGTTGTATAGTGTGGTCGATCAGGTGATGGCTCTGGGTGAGGTGATGGCTCTTGAAGTGGAGGCTGCTCATCATCTGTGCCATAAAAAAAACACTTACTAGCTTGCCACCAATCAGTGGCAAGCTCAGCCTCCGTGGGTGTCAGCCTCTGTAATGGAGTGTTGGCCTCCTAACAATATAAAAGCTCAAACAAAGTTAAACATGTACTAGTAATAACTTGTTTATATATGATAGTATTTTTATTAACTTACATCATTTATTGTCATATACCGTAGTAACTCTTCCCAATCCAACAACCGTCGTTTCCTCTTCCAGGAAGTAGCCCTAGGAATATCATTTGAAGTTTTTAATGCATATGTCTGCATGTCGGGAAAAGCCTCAAATATCCAAATCTACAAACAATATAATACACAAACATTAGTACTTGTTAAATAATTAATTATAATTTTGGAAACATTATATAGAAATTCTTACCTTAAAGGCCCAAATAAAGCCTGACAAAGTGTATTTGGAACCATCGCCATGCAAACTTTTTCGGTCATCAAAGGCAGACGACAACTTATTCTAGGTAGCTTTCCATAGATACGAACCCCACGGAAACATGTTCCATGCATTTAGGTCATCTACCAATAATATTAGGTCCTTAGGAATAGGTTGTCTGGCCTCTCTGCCTAAAAAGCTGGAATGCAAAAGTACTAAAAGGCATACTCGGACAACATCGACGTCATCCATCCGAGTAAAACCATCTTTCTTATTAAATAATATCGTCAAGTCATCGACGTGTAAATCCGGCTTCTCCATTGACAGCTCAGGAAAAACTCGGGATAACCATGATGGGCAGGTAATATGACTAGTGTATCGACCTGCATCATTGTGTCCGAAGCGTAGACCAGTGATTAAGCAAAACTCATGCCGCCCAAAACACGTTTACGCCGTTGGAAAATGAAACTATATCTCTTCATTACCACGTTTTATACTCTCGGGTAGATCGCTAGTCATGGTCTGAAGCCACAAATGGGTCAACATAGTATCTCCACCCGGATGTTGTACTTTCAGCCATGGCCCGAAGCAAGTATCCTCAAAATATTTTCTTTGTACAGGTGAAAGCTTCGACGCAATTGTACTGACTAGGCTTATTTTATTCCTTAAGGTCAATTGAGTCGAAAAAAAGTTCTACAAAAACAATAAACATACCAAGTAAGATATACCAAAAACTACACTGTGAAGATATACCAAAAACAATAATAAACATAAAGAGTAGTAGTAGTTTATTCTTCAAACTTAAATTTGCAACACTGTGAATTTCGTATTTGTCTTTGTTTTTTAGTTGAAGTAATGCAATTCATTCAAGTTTCAATTTGTAGAAGAAGAATAGTTTCTGAAACTTAAAATCGCAACATGAAAATGAAAATCGCAACGCGAAAATGACTATCGCAACGCGAATTTGACTATCGCAACGCGAAACTAAAATCGCGTTGCGATTTTGTCGTTGCGATTTTCATTTCGCGTTGCGATTCTCGGTTTCAAATAGTTATTGTCTAAAATTGAAACTTGAATGAATTGCATTACTTCAACCAAAATACAAAACAAAAACAAATACTAACTTCACATGGTTAAAGACTAAACAATTTAGCAGTATTGGCAGCAATCGAATGAATTTAATAAGCAATCTAAGTGAAATGGTTAATCTATTATTGAAATTACCAGTAAACTTATCATCAATTTCAATATGAAAAACCTAATAATAATGCAAAAATTTCAAATTAAAAAAAAAAAACTAACCCTCGGTGGTTGATTTGGTTGATTTTCCATTTCTGACCGTGAATGATTGTGAGGGTGGCTCTGAGAGATGGAGATAGACGGATTTCGTCGGAGATGGGGACAGATGTCGCCGTAGAGAGTGAGAGATGGAGATGAGACTGAGTTGTGATTTAGGGTTTTAGGTTATAAGTTGCGATTACGGGATATATTAATATTCATGTTTGGAATTTGAAAATAAAATACGCGTTGCAATACTAATGGCGCTTTGAAAATCGCATTGCGATAGTTAGAATCGCGTTGCGATAGTTAGAATCGCGTTGCGATTTACATATTTGCATTGCGATTTTCTAAAATCGCAACGCGAATTTGGAAAATCGCAATGCGATAGTCAAAATCGCGTTGCGAATCTGGAAACTGATTTGCGATACTGGAGATCGTGTTGCGATTTAGAGATCGCATTGCATTTTGTTGGTTATTTTGGCAAATCGAAAAAAAGTTGGTCAAAATCGTATATTATAAGGCATTTTCGGTCACTGAGGTTATTTTCTCCTGTTAGAAAGCATAAGAAATTAATACTAATAAAATATTAATTTATGTTAATGTGATTAAAAGTTAATAAAAGATTTACATCACTATAAATTGGGATAAATAACTGTGAAATGAAAAAAAAATCTTTAAAGTTAAATTGATTAAAATAAAAAAATAATTAGTGCTTAATCATTTTTTATAAATCTAATATTAATATAAGATAATATTTATTATTTTTTAATTATTTGATAATAAATACTCATATACCTCACATATATAATATTCAAATCTAAGACTACAAACGATTATAACATATTCTTTAACCACTAAAATCACTTTTTGAAGGCTTAATTATAAAATAATTGTCCAAGCAATAGTGTTTTTCACGAATAGTTGCTTAAACTATTTTTTTTGAGTGATCACGGTGTCTAACTTTACAAATGTTAACATTTTAGGTGTATGGGTCGTGAACAATGTCAATTTCCTCCGTTATGAGTCACTTGTCACAATTTGATAATTTTGAAATTTATTTTTTAAATATTAAAAATAATTATATTTATAAAAAAAACTTAATTTCTCTTAAATTACAAGAAAAGATCAAAATCCCTAAATCCTAACCCTAACTCTAACCCGCTGTCGTCACAATTTTCGACAATGATCATAGCCACCTACGTAGTCCCTGCCATCCTCCTAGTCATACACCGTCGTAGTTATCGTCGATTGATCGTCGAAATTGCGTGGGATCACGATTTTCATAATTGGGTTTGCTAGATATAAAACGGCGATCGATCACGATTTCATAGGGGTTTTGGTCGTTGATGTGAGGTAGGGTGGAGCTTCATTGATGGCAAAGGGCGACGGCCGACACTGATTTAGGGATTGAAATGAAGATTTTTCAAAGTTTTGGGTTATTTTGACATTTCTTTTTTCAAAATATCATTTTAATTTTATTAATTTTAAATAATTAAATTAATGTCGTTTAACGAAGAAAATTAATGTCGTTGACAGTCCAAATACTTATAATAATAACATCTGTAACATTAGACACTTAAATTATTCAAAAAATAATTTAAACACTAATTTATAAAAAAAATATAATTTAAACACTTATTTTATAATTAAGTTTTTTTAATCCCTAGAACTTGAATAAAAAAATCGAACATTTTGTTTTGTTTTGTTTTTTTAGGGAAAAAAATCTAACATTTTGATGTGATGAATCAGGTGGATTTTTAACATGACACTTGTACTTGGAACCTGCTCGAAAGGTTCTTTCTTGCTCTTCTTCCTCTTATATTCATTGGAATTCACTGAAATTGGTTTTATTCAGAAAAAGAAAGCCTGCAATAGAGAAAAAGAAATGTCCGATCGTTTCTTCCCAAATGAAATGCCAAATTTTGTGGTGGAATCAACAGTCTCCGGAGCCACTTCCATTGACTCACTAACCAATCTCCTCTCTTTACCTTACAAAACACTCTCTGATCACCTCAAGACCGCAGCTTTGGCCCTCAAAGAAACCGTATTCTCTCAAAACTCTCTTTTTGGGTTATTCAAATTTCATTTTTTAGCTTCGCTTCGTGCATGAAATCCGTAGGATTATGCATATAGAAATAAGGCTGGGACCTTTACTGTACTTTCACTTTCGTTTTTTTAGGCCCATAATGTGAATCATGTTTATAGGCATTAAAGTTGGTGTTTTTAATGTATTTTTGTTCTGGGTTTGTTGAGATTTTGTAAAATAATAATTTTTTTGGGGGTTTGGATTCAGATGGTGAGGGAGACATGGGGTTTGAGTGGAAAGAGAGTGCATGATTATACTGCGTACACAGGAGCTCTTGGGACAGCTTATTTGGTCTTTAAAGCATACCAAGTTACCAAAAATCAGAACGATCTTAAATTATGCTCTGATATTGTTAAGGCTTGTGATTATGCTTCTAAAGATTCTGGGTAATCTCTCTTTCATTAATCTCAACCTCAGTTACATTTTCATATGAATTGTGCCTTTTTTTGCTAGAACTAGTTGAGTTGGTTTGGTTTCTAATTAAATGCCCGGTAGAAACGATCGTTTTCGTTACACGAACTTAGTGAGTTGCAAGATTTCCAGGTGTTGCGAGACATGGTTTTTGCCTATGCTTGTGTTGTTCTTATTGACAGTCTAGTGCTAAATCAATCAAAGTTGCTGGAATCACAAATCGATGTCTGCTTAATGAGAAAGTAACCCGAATGTTGTTCTTTTACTCTACTCCAAATTGATAAATCATGTTGGAATGGTTAACTAAAATTCAGTCGGAAGATATCGTTCGTTCCAAATGAAGCCTGTGAATTAGCTCAACAAGGATTGTTATGCTGTACATAAGATTGCATTAGAAGTGAGTGTTTGAACTTGACCATGCCACATATGTTGTGCAATTGCATGGATGTAGGCGTGTGACATTCATGTGCGGACGTGCTGGTGTTTATGCCCTTGGTGCTGTTGTTGCGAAGCATTCTGGTGATACGGCTTTACAAGATCGCTACTTGGCAAAATTCAAGGAGGTGGTTCATTGTTGCTTTTTTTTCTCTTCGTATTTTACCTTTTACTTATTTCCCTTATCTTTTCCGGTGTTCACTGCACTTGTGGGTTTAGATTGCTTACCTTCTACATTTTGATATTGTTTTTACTCTGAGAGCAGATCAGATTCCCTAGTGACTTGCCGAATGAGTTATTATATGGGAGAGCAGGGTTCTTGTGGGCCTGTTCGTTCTTGAATAAGCATATCGGCAAAGACACCATATCTACTGCCTATACGGTAAGACATGTTTTTAGTCCTCTGAGAATAAAACTTTATTGATTGTATTTATTTGTTCTTGAACTTGGAAATTGCACAGCGGTCAGTTGTGGATGAAATTATTAAGTCAGGTAAACGACTGGCGGGCAAGGGAAGATGTCCATTGATGTATGAATGGCATGGAAAGAAATACTGGGGAGCTGCGCATGGACTGGCAGGAATTATGCATGTTTTGATGGACATGGAATTGAAACCAGATGAGGTGGAGGATGTCAAGGTTACTCTTCGCTACATGATCAAAAACCGGTTCCCCAGTGGAAATTACCCGTCAAGTGAGGGAAGTGAATCCGACCGTCTTGTACACTGGTGTCACGGTGCTCCTGGGGTCACACTTACCCTTGTAAAAGCAGCCGAGGTACTGCTTGTCACGCCACATTTCCCCCCTAAAGTTGTTTTGGAAAAGAATCACATCATCTCGGTACCCTTTTTTATATAATGCTGTAAATCAACAGGTTCTTGGAGACGGGGACTTTCTACAAGCGGCATTGGATGCCGGAGAGGTAGTTTGGAAGCGTGGGCTGCTTAAGCGAGTTGGAATCTGTCATGGTATAAGCGGAAATGCATACGTGTTCCTCTCACTCTATCGACTGACCGGCAATGCAGAGTACTTATATAGGGCCAAAGCATTTGCTTCCTTCTTGTCCGATAGAGCAGAGAAACTTATATCAGAAGGAAAGATGCATGGTGGCGATCGCCCATATTCACTCTTCGAGGGTATCGGAGGAATGGGATATCTCTTTCTGGACATGGTCGAACCATCTCAGGCGAGGTTCCCTGCTTATGAAATTTAGGTTGCTTTCAACATATTTTTCCTGTGGGTTTTCATATTATTTAGGTTGATTTCAAAATATTATACAAGTAGAATTTTAATATTATTATATGTATTATTAAGGGCTTCAGATAGATTAGAATTTTAATATTATATGTATTATAGTTGGGGAGGAGTTATTCGATGGCCTTTTCCGGATAGCTGGACAGGCTTCTCCGTCTGGTTCAAGCTTTCCTGGTAGGTTTGGTAATGGCTTAAACAGATGGAACATATTTCAGCAGTATCAGCGATTGGGTTGTACTCACTTGATACCATCATAAGTGTACTTGTGTAAGTCGGATTCGTCATAAAAGTCGACATTGTTAGGTTAACTTCTGCTCAAAGTATAGTGCGGTTCGAATTCTGGATACATCCGGGCACGCCATTAATGTTCGGAGGTTTCTTCTTCGTAGGCTTTACTAAACAAAGAAAAATGTTTTCAGACAGTTCTTCCAATGTCAACAGAAACTCCATTGAAGATCATGCGAGTGGTTCAAAAAACACAACTGACACATCAAATGTCGAATCGGAACACCAACACCGGTCTTTTTGTTATTGACATGTATACAAGAAACTTCGATTTCAGAATGGAGGACAAAAAAGAAATACAACAATTGTTATGAATCTGATACAAAAATATAATCTATGGCCTTGGTTATTTGTAGGCTCCCATGCCGACACCGGTCTCTCCGCCGTACGCCTGGAAGCTTTTGTCCCGAGCACTCGAATAGCAAACGTAGTAGAACTTGTTGGCAATGGCGTTCAAGAAAATGAAAGCCGCCCCTGCAGCAAATACTCCTTTCCTCACAGTTTCACAAGGAGGCTGCTCGCTGAAAATGGTCCGGTATTTGGTGTGGTACGCGTTCCTCACCGATGCAGCCAGCAAGCATGTCTCGGCGATCAGGAAAAACAACCTGTGATTCTCAATTCCAAGAAGAATCAATGAAACAACAAGAATCTACAAATTGGACTACCATGTCGGCTAGAACTTCTGATGAAAATTGTGACATACCAGCAAACAATGAAAAGGATTAGTGCCCAAGCCCTCGAACCACTTGGGTTCAAGCCCTTTCCGCAGCAGAAGCATCGGCTCGCAACCATTATAAGGGCTTGGTTAACCATGAGGAACAAAAATGCACCAACACCATAACCTGTGGCTATGTCTGAATCATAGACACAATAGTTATAAGTAATATCATTGTCCTGGACATTCTTGGCCTGCTCAAAGACAAACAAACAACATAAATTTTCATGTCTTGTCTGGAAAATCACCAGATCCACTACTTCCCAATCCCCATAATCTCTCAAAATTGAAAACAGTGTTGAGAGAGAACAATCAAATACTGAGATCTGCCATTTTTTATGGCAATTCAGCTTAGATCTGGTAAGTTTATACACAATTGAGAATTGTAACCATATATACACATATATACGAATCAAGACAATTCTTTTCCTTCAAAGGCATCAATTTCATACATAAAACTGAAAATCCAAAAAGCTAAACAAACATTTTGTGGTGTTTTTTAACCCAAAAAATCGACTTTCTTTCATTTTCCAGCAAGAAAGTAGCAACTTCCAATAAACCCGGAAATTGTATGAACAAAACGCAACAAGAAAGAAAGCAAGGGTGCTACTTACAGTGCTTCTTCTTTGCTCAGCTGCAACAGCTAAACCAAAAGCAATGAGATCAAGAACAAAGACAACAATCAAAAGAAGCTTGGAAGCCATTGATAATGTGGAGCTAGCTTGCTAGCTTCAATAACCTTCTCTGTTTTCTCTTTGGTTTGGTCTTTCTCTCTCAAACTCTCCGTCTCTAAATATACAAAAGATAAATCACTATCAGAAATGAAGAAGCAAACCAAATTAAAATGAATCAATTCTTTTGAAAAAACACGTAGTTTATTCTGATGAAAATGACACCTCACCTTAGCTTGAAAATGGGGGTTTCACCTTTTTTTTAATTAATTTTTAAATAACGTTTAAAACAACTGTTTTCAGATCATAAAACATGTTGAAGCATTTGGTAGAACTATAAACTCAAAATGAACCGAATAAAAAACGATTAGTTTACGGTTTGAGTATGTAAAATCAAATCGATTTAAGCACCGGTCCGGTTTTAAACAACATTCAGTCCAAGTACAACTTATAGAAGCAAAGTGTACAAGTGCCTTGGAGCAAGGCTTTCTTTCTATTGGAGCAGAAGCTAGTTGAAAGGGTAAATTGGGCATGTTGGGAAGATATGGTACAAGAGTTCAAAGCACGAGGTACAAGAGTTCAAAGCACGAGGTACAAGGTCATTAAGCAGGGAGATGCATGTTGGGAAAGTCTAAGTTAGTTGGAAGAGTACTTTCAATGAAAGGGAACAAACACCCGCCATGATTGTCTTCTTGGAATCCTCAAGAGTACACACCTATTTGTAGCACAAGGTACACACCTATTACACACTCTTGGATGAAAAGGCATTGGTTAATTTTGTATGTTTTGTGAAAACCAATCAATACCCACTTTAGTAAAAGAATTTAATTCCTTCTAGGAAAAACTATAATTATTAAATCATTATCATATATAAAGTTTTTTATTTAAATATGTCGATGATATAATTACATTATTACAATCGTTATTGTGAATATAAAGGATTAAATGAATTATTGAACTAATAAAAGTAGAACATGGAGTACAAATTATATTCGCAACTCATACATAATACAAGGACTAACAACTGAGTTAGACCAAATGTCACTCACTTTCCTCTATACTTCAATGAAAGTACAGTAAAAACTACAAGTTCTTTTAGCTTAGCAATGAAAAAAAATTACAAATGATTAAAAAAAAAGAGTCAGATGGGTTTACAGATGCAGATTACAATGGCCTACAAGCAAACAAAAAGAATGTGTTTTGTCAAACAAAGATAAATTACATCATGAGTCTCTTATTTTCTTTTCTTTTTTCAGTTTCATGAATCCTGAATGGCACCGACATCAAATGCCTTATTGGTATGTGCCTCCCAAACTCTCGAAGCACTCGAAAAATAGCAGGAAAATCCAAACCAGAAGTATCATGGAATGGGAATTGAAGATACTAATTTTTTTATCCATATTATTATTATTATTATTATTATTATTATTAGTATTATTATTATTATTATTATTATTATTATTATTATTATTATTATTATTATTATTATCATATTATTAAATATATATATAAATAAATAATTACAGACCAATTACAACTGGACCGGCCCAGTTACAAACAAACCAGAACCGGTCCAGATTAAACCTAACCCTAATTTCCTAACCCTAATTTCCTCAGCCGCCATCTTCAATTCCAGCCGTTGGATCTGGTTTGATCCAACGGTCCACCATTTGCCAGAGGAAACTCTAGGGTATCTATACCCTAGGGACACGTCCCAGCGCCGCCGCTGCTGCTTCCAGAAGCCTTCACCGCCACACCAACGTTCCAGCCTCCACCACGTATACCAAGGAGTCCAGAAGGCCGGCCGTAGCCGCACACGTCTCCCCCAAACGGTGAGTCACCACTGGGAGTCCGGTGACTCACCGAGACCCCATCTTCGGACCGGTCTGACGGCTACAACGGTGGTGGCTATAAAAGCCACCACCCGAACCTGAAAAAAAAAAGAAAAAAAGACAGAGAAGGAAGGAGGAAAAACAGAGAACACAGAGACAAAGAGAGACAAAACAGAAAACAAATATATACATATACCAACGATCTCAGTCAACATCAACGCAGCAAGGAAAAAAAGAGAGAAGAGAGGAAAGAAGCTTACCCTATCATCGGAGAACCCCAACCGTTGCCGGATACAACAAAAAAACCGAAGGTATATTTGTAGATCTGCTCCGATTGGGAGCTTTTTAAGGGAAAAGAACACCGGGACCGTCCTTAGGACGGTCCGATCTATCTATTAGGGTGAAAATAAATTTTTCCGGCCACCAAATGCGGTGGCCGGCGGTTGCATTCACGGCGGCACACGGTGGCCGACCGGTGATCGGCTTCCCTCCGATGAGGGAAGCTAGAGAGAAGGCAGAGAAATTTGTTCTCTCTCAGTTAGAGAGAGAACAGAAATGAAAAAATGAGATAGCTGGCCCTTCGGGCCAGCCGGTTTGGACCATATATAGTCCTTCCCGAACGACGTCGTTTCGGGAAGGACTATGCGCGTAATTATGAAATAGTTAAACCCCGTCCGCAGTCCTCCGAACTTGTAAACTTTACATTTTAGTCACTAAATTAAATTTATAATATTTTTAATTCAGTCTTCGAATTTTAATTTCTTTTATTTTAGTCCTTCATATTAAAATAATATATTTAGGATAAATTACAGATTTAAATCCCTTAATTTTAATAAATAATATTTTAATCCCTAGTTTATATTTTTAATTTATTTAATTCCAATATCCGAATTTTAGATAATTTTGATTTAGTCACTAAATAAATAAAAATAAAGAAATAATATTTAATCCCTATAATTAATTATGAATTAGATTTTTAATTTTATTTTTACTGTAATTTAGTTAGTTATTTTATATGTTTTCATTTATTTTATTTATATTGTTTTAGTAGTATTTTTATTTTATTATATTGTTAAATATTTTTATGTATTCATAAATATATATATAATAAATAGTAGATTTTAAATATTTATTTTTAATATCGAAGAAAAGGACAGTCTTAATACAACTGGATGTCCTATTCTGATATTTTAAAATTAAAAAGTAAAACAATATTATTTAAATTAATATTTATCAATATCAAAGAAAAGAGCTGTCTTAAGGCACCTAGAAGTTCTTTTCTGATATTTTTAAATAAATAAATATTTTTTTATAATTTTGAAATAATAGAATTATAAATTAAATATATTTTTTGAATTTTTAAAATAATAAGAGACAATTTATAATTAAAAAGTACCAATTTTGGGCGTTGTAAGGGTGCTAATCATTCCCTAAACGTAACCGACCACGAATCCCTTTTTATTATTAAAAAGAATGAATTTTTGGTTATAAACGCAGATCAGTTTATTTTTTTAACTGGTGTTTTATTAAAACTCTTTTAAGAAAATAATTTTTAGGTATTCGACCTACCTGACCCAAAAGGCCGATGGCGACTCCCAAATTATTTTCAAAACCATTTATTCACATCAATTTCCCCGCCAAATTTAATATTTCGTGCCCGGACGAAAACCGGTTACGACAGCTTGGCGACTCCACTGGGGACCCTGGTCAAACTTTTAAAAATCAATTATAAATTGTCTCTACTAATTAAAAATTAAAAATTCATATATTTAATTTTTAATTCTTTCTTTTCAAATTTTTTATTTATTTATTTTTTTTATAATATTTATATGTTTTATTTTATTTGTAATTATTTTATTTCATTATTTATTTTGTCAGAGGTATGAACATTTCTCCTCACACACAACACTTGCATTGCATAACATAAAGCTCTATAATTGAGTTGTCCCTTTTAAGTGGGAGTGAAAGCAACGTCTTCGTGAGAATTTATTCTCCGTGTCAGACCTAGCAAGTAACTTTCGGGGTTCATATGCTCTATGTCTTCGTGAGAATTTATTCTCCGTATCAGGCATAGAAAAATGTATCCCCTCGAATTGAACTCGATCCACTTTAGTCTGTAATGGACTAGGATTGAGGGTTAGCAACCCAAGGGGGCACTAACAAGGACAATTCGGGTACCTTTATTATTAGATCTGAAACCTTGCATATAAAAAACCTTAGAGACTCTTCCGATCCGAAGTCATGCCAAAATTTTGTCCAAAATAGGTGTACACACAGGAGAAATGAATTCTGTCTTTCCTGTTAATTTATTTATTGTTTAAATTACATGTTTATTTAAATTATTTAAATTCAGAAAAGCATGTTTAAATAAAGAATATTTATGTAAATGTTATTATTAAATTTCTTTATTATGTAAACTAATTTATTTTCTTTTTGTGTGTTCTTTATCTGTTTGCATTGCATCATACAGGATAAAAGACATTGATCCTTGTGTTAATTGTCTCATTAGAAAGCCTTCATATATGGATAAAAAGTGTTCAAGTCAAGTAATTCTAAACTCAGAAGTAAGACAGTGGGCTGAGGATTTACAAAGACAAGAAGGAGACAGTCTACAGGATGATTATGTATCTGACTTGGCCAGTTATGCTTCAGTTTCACTAAAAAGAAATGATATACAAGATTTGCGAAGCATTTGGGAAAGTTGGGATTCAAACAAAAAATTGCAGTTTTATCAGACTTACGGAGACATCCCATATTTGCTCTATGTTGAAGTTGATGATGAATTACTCAGAGCCCTAGTTCAATTCTGGAATCCAGGGTACAATTGCTTCACTTTCAATAAGGAGGACTTGGTCCCTACTATTGAAGAATATACAACTTTGTTACATCTTGAAGGTGCTTTGGAAAATCGAATATATTCAAAGTCAATTAAAACTCAACCCTTTCGAGTTAAATTAGCAAAGATTGCTGGGGTACGAGAAGAATGGGTAGCATCCCGTACAAAACAAAAAGGCGAAAGCGAAGGCATTGCTTGGACCAACATCAGAGAGCTTATTCAGAGTCATCCAGACGCTAAAGTACGATTCGATCTATTTGCTCTGGGTATATATGGTATGGTAATCTTTCCAAAAGTATTGGGATATGTTGAAGCTGCAGTGGTAGACTTGTTTGAACAGCTACCGAAGAAGATTAATCCTGTTTCTGCAATCCTAGCAGAGACCTTCAGATCGTTAAATGCTTGCAGAAGGCTAGGAGGTGGACGATTCTCAGGGTGTACCCAGTTGTTATATGTTTGGATCCGTAGTCATTTCTGGAGGACAGAAAAG